CCACACACACACACACACACACACACACACACACACACACACACACAAGCAACTTCCAAGACCACCGACAAGTGTACATACTACAAACACACTCCACGTAGAGCCGAGAGCGCCATCTAGTCGCCGACAGGGTGTTTTAGTCCAGTGCGAGCCTGCCGTATGTGGACGTTTACTTCAAAAAAAAAAGTGCTGATATATCACTTCCATAGACATTTCTATACATCTCTATTACCTGACAAATATAGAGGGGCTGACCGGATGACGGTGTTTTCATTTCAGTACAAAAAAAATCAAAAAAAGACAGAAGCAAAGAAAGAAAACGCGCAGAAAGGGGAGAAGGTGTAAATAACTTAGTCGACAAAGAACAGCATTTAAAAACATGGAAAAAAACATGCAAAAAGATCTTTAGCAACTCTGAAAAAGGACACAACATTATTATTATTATTATTGTTATTATTATTATTATTATTGTCATTGTTATTGTTATTATGACCACGAATAACATTATCATCTTGTCAAAAGGGATTATCACATTCCAAATTGTACAATGGGAAAATCACTAACCTATTTTAAATTTCTACGTAGATTTTAGGTGAACAACACAGGGAGGGGGAGGGGGGTTGGTCGCACTTTTATTCGGGAGGTTTTAATATTTGAGCTATTTTTTATTTATTTATCTAATTATTTTGTTTATTGGGGGGAAGAAAAGGGGACTGAGTGGGTTGCAATATTTTCATTTTAGAATTTTTCTAGAGAAAACAAAAAACAAAACGTCCCGAGGGCCTGTTTGTGCCAGACTCTCGCAATGGCGTAATTATAATGTATTATTAATGACAACAACGATTATATTTATTTCTAATTTATTGAACCCTGTTTTTGATTCGCTCTCTTTTTAAGTTAAAATAAAAAGTATCCTACTACTGACGTGTCCTGTCGTGTTTTACAAAGCGTGGGCGTGAGCAAGGAATGGTGGAATTGTGATTCATTTCTGTACATTCCATCGTGCAAGAAAAAACGCATTTCTGCATTTTAATCATGCCTCACCGAGTCATACATTTTTGGGGGGAATATTGTTCATAATTTTTACTCTACTGTATCTGGATAGCCGTGTATTATCACTTCAATTCATATTATAAATTATGCAATGTTCAAATTTTGGACAGAAAGTTTCAGGAACCCTTCAAGTTTCATTCCTGTTTCAAAATGTTACCTCGTGTTGTTATTCCACTTGTGACCAGCAGGAGGCGTCATGAATTTTAAAAAACGCGTTGTGTATGAAGCAAGTGTGTCTGTTATCTCATGTTTTTCTTTGAGGGAGTTGGCCGTTTATTATCATGAGTTTGTTTGTTTTAATCTCTTCATACACAATTTCAGTTCACTACACTAATGTAGTTAGTTTAGTTGTGCAATAATTCATTGATTAATTGACAACTAATTCATTATCAGATTAATCAAGTATTATGATACCAATTAGCTGTTTTGAGGTCTTGTTTAAATTAAAATTGTCCAACAGCGAACAGACTTGTGGGCTAATCTTGGCGTTGTTGTAAATGCGTGGACACAACTGCATACATCTGCACGACAAACGGTAAGGACAAACGATGGTCTGCCTGCCTGTTTGTGTGTCCTCCGAGCGGAATAAAACGCGGATGTGTGTCAGTGTCGGACGCTTGGCCGCCATCCATCTAGCGAGTCGTTGTCCCTCCCTCTCCGTTATTCCCTCTCTCCTCGCCCCGCCTGCCTTGGTGCCTGCTCGTCCTCGCCCGCACTCTTTTTCTCTGGCTTTCCCCCGGCCAGCTTTCGCCTCTGGCCGGCCACACGCAGCCGGACGGACTCCGCAGGCACACACAGCATAACGCGGGGGAGAAAAAGCAAGAAGAAAACACAACTGGACAACTGAGGGGAACAACAAGCGGGCGCAGTGCAGCATCGCGCTCCCCCGCCACGTGTGTAAATCGGTGTTGCTTTCAACGGCCTATGAGGGACATAATTTTTTTTTTCATCAGAAAAGTGATATTCGAACTTTCGAAGATGTAAAGAGTCTGCGTGTGCTGCTAAGCTTGAGCTGGACACATTCATTCAGCGGCACCGTTAGCTCGCTCGTCTCTGTGGAAACCAATTTTTTTTTGGTGGGGGGGAAGTGGGGATCAAGCCGAATTCCCCAATTGTCCGCGGGAAGAAAGAAGACAAGAAAAAAAGTAAGTACCGGTTTTCCCCTTTCTCGCTTTGGGCCAAATGTGTGCGTTTTGCGGCTGGTCGGCAGGCGAATGGTGACGACGTCATCACGCACTCACGCGAGTCATTTAATTAGCTTCAAATAGCGGGCCTCTGGCGACTAAACGCCACAAAACGCCGCGTCCACGTCTAAAACATTCGTATACATTTATTTTGAAACACACCGTGGTCTGTTTTTGTCGGCATTTTGATACTAAGCGTCGCTTTTGGCATTCTGTATGAAAGTTAGCTTAGTAGGCTAACGCACAGCTGGAAGAGTAGTGACTCTTGCGAGTAAATAACCAAAGATTTATTGAGACACTCGATTAGATTTTAAGCATCGGTCATAAGGAGTCATTACTTTGACACTCCTCGCTGCGGTTGAATTGTCCCGCTTGATTACGCTAAGATTCCGATGATGATTTGACTTACACACAGTAAAAACAGCATCAGTCGACCTCACGACCTGAGCAGTGAAACCTTTGCTGGTCTACCTTCCACTTACACAAAAAGAATACAACAAAATTATGTTTGAGTTTGGCTGTAGTGGTGGTTGCCTCACACTTCCCGGAGTTCGAATCCGAGCTTTGTCCTTGCTGTGTGTAGTTTGCATGTTCTCCCACAACAAATGCAAGTTAGACTAATTCTTTGGTAATCAGCTCGGGTTGCCACAAATAAATATTTGTAGAATCGATCCTGTTGATGACAGTATTCCATTGATTTCTCGAGTAATTGAGTAATCCTGACCCTACAGTTGAGAATTACTGCTGTTCATAGGTGTGGCGGCTTGTTTGTCACTGTAGTATGTGATTGACTGGCGACCAGTCCGGGACGTAACCCAACTCTCACCCAGTCAGCCCGAGACGGGCTTCAGCTCAACTCACTGCTCATGTGTACATTTGTGATGATTTCATGCTTTGTTTATCGCTCTTTGACCAAACTGTTGTTCTTAAGTACACAAGTCCTGTATTTACAATGAATAAATGATAGCATTTTACGCACTAATCAAGCATTACTTGCTTAAGGCTCATGCTTTGTGCCATTATCCATACATTAGGCTGACTGAGATATACACATCTACAGGAACTGGAGCACTCTCGCCCTGCTCATGAAAAATAAATATCCGTTTATCGGCAGCTCGTTGCGTGGCCTTGCAGTGAAAGTTAAATGAATGGATTGTCTAAATAATGCACACCATAACTGACTGGTAGGGCTGGATGATTCCGGAAATAATAAATATCCCAATGATTATGATTGAGATTGAAATCACGATGAATGTAACGATTATTCATTAACTTAAGTACAAAATGGCCTTGTAAACACCTTATGAAATTCAAGCGTCTTGCGTTTTCATTGTGCTACGTCCACGCATTTGATGCGAATAAGAACACCACTTTATCTTTCCCATATTTATTTATATCTTATGTAAGTGTTTTATTTTTATTTTCACGAGTCTCAAACTGGGCTGAGCTGGGACCTTGCGTATTGTAATTTGTGCCATGTCATTCAGAAATGTGTGTTGGCATAAGAAAAAAAAGTCCTTTGACCCTTGAATTTTGAGCAAAGAGAAATTCATTGAATCCCTGAAAACTCGTCTTTCAATTTAACTTGAAAGAACAACAACTAAATGTGCACTAACTTTTCAGGAACTACTTTTCACACGTTGTGGGTACTTTTCACACAGATAAGTGAAACGCTGTTATTTGCTAGCAAGATTGATTTGGTAGCAATGTATGGCCTTTGTTCTTTGTTTGAAACAAAGCAATTCATTGTTTCATGAGTGGGGAAAAAAAATAAAGTTGCACAACATATTGCAAGGACAAATTGTTCTGCACTTTGCAGGACCGTGAGGCACGTGACTGTTGGTTGTCACCTCCAACTATCTTGACACTGAGCACTGGCTAACGCTGGACTAAATTATCACACCGGTTGTGTGAAACGAGTCATACTTTTGAGGTACTATTTGGAACTATTACGCTTTGAAATAATGAGCAGGCTCCGTCGAAGACAGAGAAGCTGTTGGCTTTTCCTCTCATAGATTCTCACATGCACCACATGCATGGCATGTGGCCAGTCGCGTTGTGCTCAGCAAGGAAGCAGACTTGGCCTCTCCAGTCAGACAATCCACGAATATTATGACCCCGTTTGTGTCTTCCGAATGGGATGTTTCTCCTCTGCCTGCGAGTCGGTTTAATCCCCAATTCATCAGGTCACAAATCAATGTCAAAGGCATGAACGTTGACTTTGTTGTGATTGCTGTCCACTGTATGGAAAACATTTCGTGAACAGGTCAGAAAATACAGAGAGTGACTCTTTTACTGTCTTTGCCGGACGGCCGCAGCTTCCGCCAGGCCGACAGCTTTGTCCGGAATGCCAAAAATTTCGATGATTGGTTTGACACTCGGGAGGCCTGACCCGAGTTAACGCTAACGAAGCGTGTGCGCGAAGCATGCCAGCCTCCCCCGACTGCTACTTCAGGCCACAATGTCCGCATTCAGGCTTTGGCGGCTCTGCCCGCAGAGCTGCTGGGAAACGGCGGCGGCACGATGGCCCATTCAGCAAAACAATTCGCAAGCTGTACACTCGGGTTTGCGACGGTACGGTCGGGATCGAAAAGGGGGGTGTGTGGGGGGGGGGTCCCCTCTATGAATAGTGTTACATGAAACTTTGGCATCCATCATAATTTCTGACATGTTACCGAGCAAACCAGCAACTGAATTCCCGGAATCAAATGACACATGAAGCCGCTCACCTGTGACCAAACGAGAACGGCAAAAAGTAAGAGCCGACGTTTCATTCATTTCTCTTTTTGAATGTTCTCAACTCCTGCTCACGAGACTGACTCAACAGCGCCTCCACTAGTTGCAGCCAAGTAGTGCACTCGATCACGATTGCAGACGCTTCAGGGCATTCCCAATCAATTCCACGCAATCCAGAATTCTGAAGAATCAAGGAATCCATTAGTACAGGGGTGCCCAAACGTTTTGGACCGAAGATCGACTTTTCGATCAACCAACCTCCCGCGATCGACCCGTTACCGCTCACGCGCACATACACGCACACGGATTGATGAGCAACAGCCTGACACGGAGGCATGCGACGCACTTTTGCAGCCTGTTAAACTATCGTAGCTCACATGTACCGTTTTAAAGCGCTTCCCTCGGCACCTCCAGATTCCTATTCTAACGATAAAAGATGTAGCCTAACAGCTCTGATCACAAGCTGCAATTGCAGACCGCTGAGTGCTAACAACTTCCGGTGACGCAGGTCACGCGCCACCTTAGGTTAAAGAATTACCTGCTTTTATTTTCTTTTTTTAATACTTTTTGTGAAAATGACACTGATAAGATGATAAGGGTGCAGTGTACATTAACACAAAAAAATAAAAATTAGTAACATGCCCAAAGACACACAAATGGTTATTTGTTTTTTTTTTTTTTCCTCCTCTACACCCCTCGCGATCGACTTGGGACCAGTTCACGATCTACCGGTCGATCGCAATCGATGTAATGGGCACCCCTGCATTAGAATGTCCATAGCTGCTCTAATCCATAGTCTGATTTAAAAAAAAAGTTTTACAGGAGCTCTTCTGTTTCTGATTGTCGCCCTTGTAAAACATTTTCAGGTCACAAACTTGCATGAGAATACTTCCTGTTTTTCATGAGATGGTTCTCGTTTTGTGGCCTCGAAATAATTTGGTTCAATCAAAATATGGTTCTGTAGTTCTGATTTTATTACTGCGTTAGCGGTCACCTACGCCGCCGTAGGAACGAAAACGCCGCGGTTTACCGAAAACTGCTGTACTGATAACTGGGATGGTGCGGGTTGGACGTTTTGGATGCAGTGGCAATGCAAAACGATGCGTACTGAACCGAAGAATTCACCTGGCCTCCTGGAAAGTCGCTTGGTGTTCACGATGATTGTGTCTTTGGGATCAATCAACAATTCGGGGCTCTATTTCTACTCGTTTATGTCAAAAAGTTGTTTCATGAAGCGAGTTTGTGATCTCTCGATGTCCCGTTTTTGTCGTCCACCTCCCACATTGAGCATGTAGACGCTCTTCCTTGGAAAACTTAACTCGTGTTATGAATGAGTCATCGTTCCAGACGACGAATACGTGGAAGGTTTGCTCTGGCACACGTCTCATGGCTGCGAATGATTTGCTCCCGTTCTTGCTTTCCGTCCGGCGGTAAACCATCTATTAGTTGACTCTACAACTTGTTCTTCATTGATTAAAAAGTCAGGAGACAGTACGGAGCTCTCGTGCCGTGTTGGCAGCCGGATGTTTACGTTTCCTGCATTGTCCACAACTGGATGCCGTCTGCTCTGTTTAGCTTTGCTATTAATCCAAAACGCAGAGCCTTTACGATTGGAGACTTTTGATTTTTGGGTTTGCGGATTGGAGAAGAACTGAAGCTGGGCCTCCCTATTTTGAATCACCACGTCTTTCGAATGTAGCTTGGTGGCGAGAGAGCTAGAGAGAGACAGACACACACACAACTTCCCATCTCCCTCCCCTGCCAGAGGCATCCCCTCTTTCATTGGGCCTTTGAAATGGTCAGAGCCTACTCATATGATCTGCTCGACCAATGGAATGTTATTCACGGGGTGGTGGGGGGTGCTTAAAACTGCTGAAATCAACAGATGATCTCAGCACATGAACCTAAATATGTCGCCTTGATTTGGAAATTCCCTCCAACCTTGCGGCACGGCACAAATCAGTTGTTTTTTGGGGGGTTTTTGTAAACCGTGAGCAGTCTAATACTTGTCTGTTGCTCCCCTTTGGACCCTTCCTTTACTTGCGCTCAAAGTAATTTTCTTATCTGTCCTAGTTTAGATTTCTGGGTAAGTGTTATGGGACATTGCACAACAAACGCACTGTTGGCTTGAAGAGTTGGCAAAATAAAGTGGGAAAACTATGTCAGCCGTCCCGTCGAGCACCTGTGCTGGGGAGTCGGGGGGCATGACTAATATGACATGGAGTGAAAAATAGACTGTACCATACAGTACAGTGTTTCATGGACGCCGGCTCACACAAGGGTACCACACAGCACTGGGGGTTGAATGTTTCATTTTGTCCTACTAAAATTTCATAGGAATGTGATGTGAAGTCCTTTACTTAGAAAATTTTCTAGTTAAGAAATTTCTTTCAGAACCAATTAATTTTGTCAGAAGAGGTACCACTGTAATTTACTGCCCATATTGCTCTTCTCGCAGAGAATGTTCTTTTTGTGCAGCTTCCGATAATTGCGCCATTGTTTTTAAAACTGGTGACGCTGCCGTCGAATTTATGACCTGAATGAGCTCTTGGTTGGATCTTTTAACTGAAACTCTAAACCAGTTAGAGGAGGGCCTTCCCGACTAGCAACAAAAATATTGAGTAGAATTTTTTTTTTTTTTCCATTTTACTCAAATTTGAAGGTGCTTTTTAGCCCTTTTTTTCTGTAGGTGAGAGCACACCGCAACATCACCCAAAAGGTCTTGAAAACTGTTGTGCATCGTTCTGAATTGTTGTTTGTCAATATGTGCCGAGCATTTGATTGGCGACCAATCCAGGCTTTGCACCTACTGCAGCTCACATGCATCCCTGAGGAGGACAAGCGTTTTCGGAAATGGATTTACGCATGGAGATAAAAAGAAAATAAAAAAAGCACATTGTTCCGATGCATAGTTTTCAATGAACCCTTTGTTCCCAACCCAACTTTGTTGACAGTATATAGCGCTTTCCCAACAGATGTTCTTCCATTCCATCTTTAAATCATGTCATTTTTTGAAAAAAGGAGCTGTTTAACGCTGTCTACTGTATAATTAAACACAGCCCACGAATAAAACGTCTCTGTAGAAGCACAGTGAATTCTGGCATATGTCCTCACCGCCGTTTTTTAGAACATGAAAATTCCTCTTGAGTTTCTAACACGGACGCGTTAAATCTTGGTTGACAGTAAATTTCACTTAGGCATTTTTTTGCCCCGCCCAACTCAAGCATACGCTTATGCACAGCTGTGTCTGGTATGACAACAAATCGCATGCTGAAAATGGGGCCATCACAGGAAAATGTCGTCAAAAACTGAATGGCTAGGTTGAGATGTAGAAAAGCGGAATGGCAGTTTTCAAACTCATGGGCTGACAATGATGGTGAATCATAGAATCGGCATCTTGAAGTCCGACAAATGTTACTATTGTTGGCATCGACGTCCCTAACTGTTGCAAAGGCAGCACCTACTGTTTGGTATTATTCTACAAATGACATTGGGTGAGCGGCCCCGCACTCTTGAGTGGTCAGGAGCCAATCACAGGCTTGCCAGAAAATTCGAGCAAATTTTAAACAGAGCTGTGCAGCTTCTCGTCTGAGGACCCTGGACATTTTATGGATATTGTGAAAGGATGGACCTCCAGCTACAGCCGATTGTAATAGGTAGTCAGATAGTCAGAGGTCTTGTGTCACACGTGATGAGCATCGAGAGAAAGTAGTAGTGGCCCCAATACTGCACCTTGAGGGACACCAGAGTTAAAGGTTGCGGCTGTGAGCCGTGGCAGGAGCTAGAAAATCATTTTGAACAGATCCAGTGATTCACTAGCACACATTGCAATACGTTTACTTTCAAAGTAAGTGTGGATAATGTGTTTTGGCTTGCTCCGCTGTAATCCGAAAAAGAATCTAAGCTGCATGTTTCCAAAGTCATAGAGGGAGGGGAGAATTGCACATGCCACCAGGCCAAAGAGGGGGAACCCTTACTGATTACTGGTGGGGATGGAAATGCTTAAGGATTGACAGATGCTGTGGGTGCAAACAGCTCTACCATTGGACTTCTGAGAGTCCCAAGAATGGAAGGGCGGCCATTCCCCTGCCGTCGTGCACAAACGATGAGTAATCGCTCACATGCTGCTTCCCCCTTTTTCACTCTGCCACTCCCTCCAACTCGTCACGTCCTCGCTGGGTGCGCTGTGTAAAGAGGCCGAGGGATGCGCTGTTGGAAAGTATGAATGTAACGTTGCAGTCGCTCTGAGTCACGCTCCCTCTCGTGGGCCTCCACAGGCTCGGCCTCCGCTGTACGCATCAGTCAAACGCAAACCGCCAGGCTTCCAGTTTGAGACCAAGCGTTTGTGCCACCGTCGAATTCTTGAAATGATATCGTACCGACTGTGCCCGATGACTGCCCCGGCTCACGAGACGCACGTGTGGTCATGAACCCCCTGCTGCGCTCACACTTTGCGTGGAGTGCTGTGACTATTTTGGTCTGGGCGTGGAGCATGTGTGCCCCATCTTCATTTTTACTTCTAATGTGTCTTGTGTTTTAGGATGCTGTCCGAGCTGAGCGCCTGGTTCTGGCAAGAGCGGTTGTGGTTTCCCGAAGGTCTGGGCTGGGCTGACCTGGAGGACCGGGATGGACGAGTGTATGCCAAAGCGACCGATTTGTGGGTGGCCCTGCCCATCGCTCTCTTATTCCTAATTGTCCGTCAGGTCTTTGAAAGGTCAGTTTGTGTGCTTCCGTGTGTGTGTGTGTGTGTGCGTGTGCGTGTGCGTGCGTGCGTGCGTGCGTGCGTGCGTGCGTGCGTGCGTGCGTGCGTGCGTGCGTGCGTGCGTGCGTGCGTGCGTGCGTGCGTGCGTGCGTGCGTGCGTGCGTGTCTCTCAGCGTCTTCAACGTTGTCATTTTACAGGGCTCGTCAAATCATGTGACTCTAAACATTTGTTTCTGGCTTGGCAATTCTTTAGTTCTTGACTCCAATGAATGCTGCAAAAGGCGGCCAAAGTTGAGCACTTATGTAATTTCCCTCACTCCCTGCCCCACTGAATAAAATATGCGTCTCACTTAGTTATTTGAATAAAAGTTGGTTTGTTATATTTCCAGTAATAATTTTTCAGTCAGGCAACAAGAGTGTATTCATTCCAACGCGTTCATGTTACTACAGTAAACGCTCGTTTACTCTGTATTTACGTGTTTCCTGAGTGAAACACCTGAGGTTGAGGTATTTCCATTGCAATGAAGTTCAATGGCCTGATGTGTGGGTTTCAGTTGCCGATTTATTTTTTTCAGTTGCCAGTTTAGTCACGTTTAGATGTAGCACACTGCGTGCGGTGAGCCTAATGCAGGCTAATTGAATGTATATATATTTTTTGCACCTTTGTCCCAATTCTCTTCTTCTTTTGGATTAGTAAATTCATTATTATGGTGTCCCTCATGGTGCACTACTGGGGCCACTACTATTTTCTCTTCACACTATCACAGACAGCCATGTTGTTTTACAGGACGGTGGCAACGCCTCTGGCCTCTTTACTCGGGGTAAAAGAAACAGTACGGCTCAGGGTGCCTCACAACCCCACACTGGAGTCCTACTATTGCAAAGTTACCAAAAACCCCACGCAGGTAGATGTCCATAGCCGTCGAGTGTATTTTGCCTTGAAACATGACTAATCGGCGTTTTGCAATTGCAAATGCAGGTTTCTCTTGTGAGTCTTTGCAAGCAGACGGGCTGCTCGGAAAGACAAGTGCAACGATGGTTTCGAAGGCGGAGGAATCAGGACAGGCCGAGTTTGCTGAAAAAGTTTCGAGAGGCCAGGTAAGCGTACACGCATACGCGGACATACGGCGTGTGCCACGTTGCCAAGAGCGGCGCTCCGAGCTGCTGCCATTCATGTGTCACTCCCGACTCCATGAGCACATTTCTGCGCACAAAAGTAGCGCTCTATTTTAAGCCTGCACATGTTATAATGCCTCCATGTACCTTTTGCCTTGACACACACAATCATTAGCGCATGACCCACAGTAACTCAATCACCACTGCTGCTTAAGTTAGTGTGTGATCATTCATGGAAACGGAGGTGCGGTTAAAACAACGGCCTCATCCTGTGATAAGATTAGAACTCACTCTTATTAAACTGGAAAACCAGACAGCACCTGAGCTTACACTCACAGGATATGGGCATCAAACATAAAAGGACTATTTGGGACACAAAAAGATGACTCAAATTGAAGTCATTAAAATCAAAGTCCCATAAAAAGAGAAAACAATTTAATTTTTTTTTTTTTTTTAATTGGATATTTAGAATGAATCTGAACGTTTAGTACTGTATTATTAGTGGATCGGGTCTCGATATTGGCAATGACTCCAAGTCAAGTGACTGCACGTTTTTTTTTTTTTAATTTTTTTTTTTAAGTGTGACCGCAACAACCTTACTTTGGAGAAATTTGATAATCACGCCTCGGCTGAATGATCTCAAATCTGGCCCGATTGTTGCCAATGTGTGCACCCGACTGTAGTTGCCCTTCAACTGAGAATTTGTGTTGTGTGTTCGTGTCTGCTTGCATGTGTGTTAGTAAATGCGCCAAATGTCTCTCCCCTTTGACTGAGCCGAAAGTCTGTCTATGTGTGTGTGTTCTCTTGCAGTTGGAGATTTACCTTTTACCTTCTTGCTTTCATTGCTGGCCTGGCCGCCCTCATCGATGTGAGTATAACCGCCATACCCCGGCTGTCTTCTCCCTCCTCCCACCTCATTCATGTCCTCGTGTAACATCCACGCTGAGATCTTGGTTTGACTGCTGATTTTTTTTTTTGTTTTTTTTTTGGGGTCCAGCCGGGACTCACCAATGTGCTGCGTCACTCGACATATTTGTTCAGACCCATGTTGTTGAAGTGTCCTGTCCTTCTTGCAGAAACCTTGGCTGTATGACGTGCAGGAGATGTGGCAAGGCTTTCCTGTTCTGGTACGTCTCTTGAAAACGCACATGGAATGAAATGCAAAAGGCTGTTTTGGCCAGATGCAGGAATTACATGAATTTTTATATATTTGTAAATTTAGAATTTATTTTATTTAATTTTTTTAATATTTCTACTTTCCAGGTAAAAGCCAATATGGTCATTTTCTTTTTTGTTTTTAGTCTATAATAGCATTTGACTAAAAAAGCCCGCGCAATATAGATTATACCATGCATTGTCATTCATAGCCATGAGATTTCAGAGAAAAAAAAAAATCGTGTCTGAGCCTAACCCTTCATTCATAAGTATGACTAAAAATACAGTATTACTCTATCAGGGTGTATTGTATTACATATTATTGTTATTATTTTTATGATTTTGAAAAGATGATGTGCTACGGAAAAAAACAAGGGCAGTTTTGGAATCTGCACAAAAAACATGTCCAGAAAAGTTTACTCGCATCTCTAATTTAAAAAAATTGTAGTTTGGTGACCAGTGTAATTAGTACATGTCACCCCTTTCTTTTAATTTTGTTTTCCACAACACGAAACGGATTGATGTTGTTTTATTTCCCTTCCTCAGACTCTGCTCCCATCTCAGTATTGGTACTACATGATCGAACTGGGCTTCTACGGCTCCCTGCTCTTCAGCGTGGCCTCCGATGTCAAACGCAAGGTCAGTGGATCAAAAAAATCGAAGCAAATTCCACAAACAACCCAACTGGGTGATTGAGAGGGGGCAAAACAAGAAAACTCATTCTGTCCTCTCCCTGTGTGATCCGTTCTGGCATCTGGCATGTGTGTGTGTGGACATTGGACTGTTGTCGCACGTGTGTATGAGACCGAACGCATGTGTTTGGACTTTGCTCGACGTGCGTCAGCTGAATGAAAATCCTGCACACAGCAGGTTTCGAACCAGGCGGACTCGTGAATAAGATAAAACGGCTGATCTTTATCTTTTAGGACTTCAAGGAGCAGATAGTCCACCATGTGGCAACCATCCTCCTCATCAGCTTCTCGTGGTGCGTCAACTACATCCGTGCCGGAACGCTCATCATGCTGGTGCATGACTCCTCTGATTACCTCCTGGAGGTAAACACACAAATCAGGCTTTTTTCAATCTAACAGTTGCATCCATAAGGTAAAGTTGAGCTTGGCAAACTGAAGAAGACAGAAACGCCAAATACAACACTGCCCCCTAGTGGCGAAATGCTCAGATTTTTCTCTCTCTCTCTCTCTCTCTCTCTCTCTCTCTCACTACCCCCCCCAGTCTGCCAAGATGTTCAACTATGCTGGCTGGCGAAATGCCTGCAACTACATCTTCATCGTATTCGCCGCAGTCTTCATCGTCACTCGCCTCGGCATCTTTCCCTTCCGGTAGTGTTGAAAATTGATGTTCTTCAACCTGAATGTATTAAACATGCCGAAAGCAATCCATCCAGAAATTCTTTACCTTGATCCCCTGACTCATGAGTGACCTGGCTAACAAATTCTTGAGGTAGGGGTTCAGAATTTAACCCTTCCAGGGACAGTGGTTACTAAAGTGGACATCATAACATGTTATCACGTTACAGGGTGCATGAAAGGGTTCATAATAACACTTTAAAAAAAAGGAAAAGTATCTCAAAAAGCTGATCTGCTAGAAAAAAGAAAAGCCATATTTTAAATCAACGTCCAAAACATGGTTAGGGACACGTAAAGCCATCACTGGTGTTGACCAGTGTAATGCAAGATCCAAGCGCTAGGTGGTGGCAGCGGACTCGACTCCGCTCACTTCACACCAGGCAGCTGATTGATGCGTTGTGAAATGTTTTTTTCAAAAGAGCTTTCAAACGCTTTTCAAGTTCACTGTCAAACTAAACGTTCAAAACAGAGAATTAGGCCTTGCATATTTAAAACAACCCTAAACAAGGCCTTCAGAATGGCCTGCTTGCTTAATGCTGACATATTGGAAAACTCCAGTTGACATGACAAAGTTTAGCATGGATAGTGGCAGTTTTTTTAACTTTCGAAGCAACTTATTGGAGTTCGTGTCTGCTCGGTGTGAAGCGAGTTGAGTCACTGTCAGTGGATGGCGGGCCGCAACCTTTAGGAAGTCTTTTCAAAATGTTTTCATCCTAAAAATGGACCGTCTATGCAGGATCATCTACTGCACTTGGGTGTACCCAGTGACCATCTACGAGCCCTTCTTTGGCTACTACTTCTTCAATGGTCTTCTCATGGTGCTGCAGTGTCTTCACATCTTCTGGGCCATTCTCATCATACGGATTGCCGTCCGCTTCCTCTCCAACAATGTAAGTGTTTTTGAAAGACCCTGTCAAGTACATTCCACGATTTATTTTTTTTCCCCGAAATACATTTTAAAAGTTTGAAGATAACTGACGAAAACGCGTGAAGACTACTTTTTGTCGTACTCTGTGTTCACTACTTTATTTATTTATTTATTTATTTATTTTTTGGCGTGCCTTCATGACACACTTTTTCATCGAGTCACTTAGAACTCAAGCCGCCCCTTTCCCACTATGTAAGATCGTGAGTGCCTTTTTTCACAGTGATTGTCCGGCGCGATTGCCTTGTGATATTCTCCCTCGTTTTATTGCTCAAAAATGCGAGGGGGCACAGGACATATTCACAGGAGCATCCGAATAAATACTTAAACCTTGTCGAAAGCTACTATAATTATTTGTTTTTTACTACTTCTGACTGAATCACTATGAAAGCATTCAAATCAATAAGGAATCGAATTCCAATCACAAGGCTCGAAATCGATTCGAAAGGTTCTTAACAAAGCCCCGCCTTGTTGTTTGCAACACTTCTCTGTGGTCGTGTCAAAGTTAGAAGACATTCATCTTCACTTTTCGGGGACTTTCAGTCCGCCAAAATGTTGACAAATGACAGAAAGGTGGAAGCGTCATCTCATGTGACGTCATGCAAGCCTTCGGCTCATTGCGCATCGAAAAGGATCACGCACGCACGCTTTCTCCTACTTGCAGGAAAAGGTGGATGACGAGCGGAGCGACAAGGACGAGACGGACGAGTCCGAAGATGAGGAGGAAGAGGAGGACGTTAAAAAGGTCCCAAAGGCAAACGGACCACTGCAGAACGGCCACGTGGTGCTCAATAACAACCACAGCAAGTTGGAATGACAGCAACGACGTGCGCGCCGCATGGACTCGTATGCCGGCGGCACTGGCGGCGGCGGCGAGAGAGATGCAAATTTGACACCTTTGTACAGCACGACACACACACACATATACACACACATTTGGACAAAGCCAAACGAACACGGCAGGAAGCATCATGGCTCGGTCTTGCTTGGTCACCAACGGCGGCTTGACGCTGACGTGGGCCCACATGCGTTCTCACTGCAGACAGGGAAGAAACTGGAGAGGAGGGAGGAGGGGAGTGACCGCGCCACGCCCCGCGTAGTTTTCCTCGCTCGCTCCAACTCTGTGTGCCTTACAGCCGAATAACGGCTTCTTTCAAAAGAAAAAAAAAAAACAAACAGAACACCATTTTGAAACCTCGCTTTAATTGTTTCTGCTTTTTGCTTTGACTAAAACTGAACAAATGGAGCATCCCTTTTATGAAAGGGGAGGTCGGGGCATTTATTTTCCTGAATTGTGTCTATGCAACGAGCTATCGCGATGTCTTTGCACAACCTCACACTTCCTTTCTTTGACTTTCTAAACTGTGTGCCTCACACTTTCTGTCAAGATCTTGGGACTTTCATTCACTTCCAATTCCACAAAGCTACAGTCCCAAAATGTTTTCTCAAGCATACTGTCTGCCCTCAAATAGTGATCATCCCTCCAACAGACCGACCATGCTCCCAAGGTAGTCGTTGGCTCTGTCATCCACTGATGACAAATAGGCGCCTCCCTCAAGTCGATCCCATGCCCAGTTACCTGCCAGGTACATCATCCACTTACGACCAAGACCTTTTGCAAATCGAAGCCGTGCTATAATTGCACCGGTCAACAGCAAATTTTAATCAGAGATGGCCATAACGTATTCTTGATGCTGATTTCAAAAATATATTTACTTTTTTCCGAGCACATCAGTTTTTTTTTAATCTCTGATTTGCTGGCACACTGAAGAAGACGGTGACAGAAACGCCAAATACAACACTGCCCCCTAATGGAGAAAATGTTCAAATGTTTTTCTCTTTCTCTTTCTCTCTTTCTCTCTCTATATAAAATAAGTCAGTGAATGTTCCCACGTGTTGGGGACGACTGTTTTAAAACAACCACAACATTCATTTCATGCCAGTGCATTGTCGCAGCCCAATTAACCGCCGTGCTTACATGGCGGCCATGTTGGCAAGGGTGACTTTCCTGTGAAAGACAATGCACAGGCCTCAAAAATAACTCGTAAAATGCTCATTTATCAACCGATTGTCATGGGCTTTACCTTTTTGTTAATGCCCACGCGGGCTCTCAATAAAGAACACTTGGAAAAGAAATTACCCATGAAAGGTTATTCCTAGCCCCGTGGTGGTAAGCGTACTGCAATGTGTGCAACCGCATGCAGCACAATGTGAAGGCATCCCTTGTTTTGGTTTTCTCGCCCTCCACACACATGGAATCGCAGCGCTTAGCAACACTGGAGGCATGCGGCTCACAGGGATGTGTTGTAAATACCCAAGTTCACATCGATGCCTCCCTCTGCCCATCTGCAGTTGAGGAACAGCCACTATTCATGGAAGCAGTATGATGAGCACTGTTTCAGATTTGACGCGTTAGCAGAATCGCAGCTTTGATTGTGTTTGCTTGTTTTTTTTTTTCTTCACATTTATCGGAACAAGTGGAATCTTACTCATGTTAAAGACCACTGCCGAGTTGCTTGGGTGATGTTGATGAACCCGGGCAAACATTTTGTACATGAAAAGAGACTCGAAGTGTGATATTTGACGTCGCCAGGAGGTTATCGCAAAGCCATGTTTTGTTATGCTTTAACATTTCATTTTTTTTTTCCTTCCAATGTCAAGTGCCTTATTTGTAATTTATGGGACATTCCCTCTCCTCTGCTTGTCCTGTTCTTCTCTGTCTCCGCCTCCTACACACACACACACACACACATCACAAGCAGCATGTCCTCCTTCATCACTCACTTTCCTCCTCCACGTATCCCCCATTCCACCGCCATCTACCTTTATTGCTCTACTTTCCTTTCAAACTAATCACAACCAACCGACCAGCAAGCTTTCTTCTTCCCCCAGTCGCACAGAAGCAACACCTGGCTGCGGGTTACAGTATTATTATTATTTTATTTTATTTTTTTTGTTAAATGACTCCCTAAGTATTGTTATTAATAATAAAAACAAAAAATCATGAATCACATCGACAATCTTGTATGTCTTGTATTCTTTCTTACCGAAGTACTTGAAGCAAATGATTCATTTTCAAGTTGTTCTCATTTCAGATTCCACAGAGAAGGAAGTCAATTGTATTCGTTTGTTTCATCATGAAACTTGGGATCAATTGAGAATCCCCAACCGTCATGCAGGTGCAGTATAATGCTAATCCAACAACCAAGAGTCCCGCTCTGTTTCTCTTTCTGTTTTGTGGTTGACATTATTTTGAGTTTAAAGATTTAGGTCCAGCCTCTTTAGTTTAAATTCCTCTTATGTGTGTGCTGAAGCTACAAAGCCTCAAGAAAGCTCTTTTTTTCTCATGGCCTCTCAGCCCAATTGTGTGTGACGTTGCTTCCCATATTTGTCACTTCAGAACTGTCAGACTTGCAGGACGGCGTTTATACCCCGAACCCAAATTCACAACCCACACTCCAAAGGCAAAATTAATCTGGTTTTGCAATTGATATTTCATTCATTGTACAGTGGTGACTTGAGACAGGAAAGCAGTTTTTTTTAAAAAGATAAACAACCACTCTATAATATTGTACTGTTGCATTTCAATCGAGTGTCTTGTTCCTCCTGGCGAGGCCAAAGAGTTGTGCTAACCATTAGCATGCCAATGGTACTTTCCATTATTTGTTAGCATTAAACGGGCAGGGTCTGTTCTTAAGGCAACATTGGTTGTTAATAGTGTGTCATTCTCTTTATTTTCTGTTTAGTTTGACAGTAAACTTAAACCGGGAGTGGAGTTTTTGATGAAATGCTGACTATTTGCCAAACTGCTGCTTAGTGAACTGAGTTTACTGCCATACAGTGCTCACATCTCAAGTACAGCTCATCTGAATGATGTTTTACATCTTCAAAAATTCAAATCGGACGGTTCAAGGTAGCCAATGGGTACACATCAGAAGGAACAGCACAATGTCCGTTAAATGTGCCAAAAATTGTTAGATTTTTTTTACCCCCCATTCTATTTCACTACTCTATTGCTGTATGTTTTATAAAGTACATTAGTTAGTGCCATTTTCCTTTTGATTTCTTTTTTTTTTTTGTGGCAGAGCCAGGAAATGATTAATGGCATTTTTAATTCATTTCAAAGGGGAAATATAATTTGAGATAATAGTGTTTTGCATGACAAAAGTAGCTCCACCACCGAATTCATGTAAATGTGATTTATTTTTTTCTTTTTTTTTCTTCATGTGGTCATTCTGGGGTTGTGAGGAAAATTTAGAGGGGGAAATTAATTGGTTCTAGGGGGAAAAAAGCTGCAAGGGTAGAGGTGGCGAATGTGAAGCACTGTCAATACTTTGTCTTAAATAGTTGAACATAAATACATGTATATTTCTGGTAAGACGATTGTCATTTTAAACTTTTTGTGGTCTTTTTTTTCAAATGTGATTGTGGTAATACTGTACTCTCGCCGAAAGCCGGAGGGGCGTGGCTTAACACGGTTTCCAAACTTGTGACGTCACGTGTATCCGGCTGGCCTCTCGTCCAATGGGGGAAGCGGAAAACAAAACACTGTGCTTGTAGCACGCGAAGCTAGGAGCGCCATCTTGAAGCCAGAGTCCCGTTGAAAGCCGACACAAATCGGGAAAACACCTCAAACCGAGCTCCGGCGTTGACTTTTTCTTGCCTTCGAACCTTCGAGGCCTTCTGAGAAACGCGCCAGGCATGGCACCGACCTGTTGAGTGCACATTAGGGACGTGCCATTGAGGATTTGGCCGTAGTGCTAGTTAGCTTCTAGCTTAGGGGGTGGGAGGGAGGAACGGGGGATCGGGGTCCATTTTTTTTCCTTCCCCGAAGTAGTTTGTTTATGTTGCTCCACACGGACATGTCATCTTCAAACCAAGGTAAAGTGCCACAAAAGTCACGTCGGCATTCTACGGACATATCTGCTTGTTGTTTACTGCGCGTTTTGTACCCTGTCGTCAAGTGGGACACTTTGCTCAAGATAGCGTGACAGCGGCGCCGAAACTAGCCTCAGAGCTAAGCTAAGTGCTCAGAGGAGAAGGGGACTTGCACAACTCGGCACCTACTTGCACAATTGCGCGTCTCATTTCGAGCTAACTATCGTAAAATCATTAAGAAATGACAATGTGCTCGGGGGGGGGGGGCACGTCAATGTATATGCTCATCAGCCAGGGCGTAGAAATCCACAAAGGTTGAATCTAGTTTTTTTGGTTGTTTTGAATTTGCCGTTTTTGCTTGTTTTCCAAAAACGTTCAAAAATGACGATAGTGAAGCAAATGTTGATGCTCACGGCGACAACTGCACTGCATGCGTTGTGCATACTGTATCTTGTTGATTTGTAAAAGTGCATTAGTCAGATGAATAAATGTTGCGATGTGATTTTATTTTTTTGAACCACAAATGATTTGATATGAAAGAAGCATGATGTGCTTTAACTGCAGACTTTAAGCTTTAAATGAATGAATCTGTAGGAATGACAAATTTGTATATGTGCCTCCCACTTTTGAAGGGATCAAAACACAATTGGCTGCTCAGCTGTGCCATTGCCAGGTTGGCTGTCAATGGAACTGGTTCCCTTGGATTTTTTGATGATGTGTCGGCCTGTCACTGTCAAAAAAATTCGGTTATTCTATTGAATAACCTGATCGAATTTTGTTTTGCATTAAAGTGTATTCCAAAACAATTTCCCCCCATGATTATGAGTTAAAACTCAATCGGTGTTGATGATTTTCATGATTAAAGAAAAAGAGCTAAACAAGCATTCAGAGATATGACATGAGGCACTCGCCAAACTTTTTGATACTGACTCAGTTGCTGGTTAAGTAAAAGCAAATGTTGGCAAATGGCTTATGTGGATTACCCGCAAAAGGTAATCATTCTGCTTTCATGAAGGACAACCAAAATCAAAGAACAATTACTGCTGAGAAGCTGGAATCTGATAAAGTAGACAATTTGAAGTTAAACAATTGTTCTGAACGAGATCTAGACAAATGAAATTGTTGATTGATTGAGAATTGATGAGTTATTAAGTTTGACACCTCCATTGCTGTGACTGTTGATCAAAGCAGCAGGATGAATTCTGAAGTGTTTCAGTCAATCGGATTATCAGGCCCTATTCAGCCAAATACTTCAGGACTCATCGGATGGAGCTTCACAGTGCAGATGGACAATTAAATGAATGATATATACATACATAATACTGTAAAAGCAACTCATGCCCTTTTGCTGTTTCACGGGCAATGAAGTGGAATGTTATGCAATGGCCAAGTCAATCACATGACCTGAATCCAATTGAGCATGCTTTTCACTGACTAAAACGTAAACACTTAAAAAAAAAAATTGAAACCTGAGTTCTTTTGGAGTTCAGGGGTCACTCCTTAAGACCTTCTGTGACTCTGTGGTGGCCTCAGCCATTCATTATGGCATACTGTAGTCTGCTGGTCAGGCAGCATCTCAGCCCGGGACAGAGAGAGAGACTGGACTGACTGGTCAGGAGGGCCAGCTCTGTCCTGGGCTGCTCCCTGGACACTCTGGAGGAGGTGGGCAACAGGAGGATGCTAGCTAAGTTAACTGCGATGATGGACAGACCCTCCCACCCCCTCCAGGCCACCCTGACAGCACTGGGCAGCTCCTTCAGACAGAGACTGATAAGAAGGAGAGGTACCGCCGCTCGTTCCTGCCGACTGCCGTCTATTGAATAGACGGTCCTGACAACGTGGATTCACCCCCACTCACCCAGTTTTAATATGCTGATATTTATATTTTTTTATATTTACATTTATTTATATACTTTTTGTCTTCTACTTTCTCCCTTTCATAATAATGCTGCTGTAAATTGGGAATTTCTCCATTGTGAGACACATCAAGGTTTTCTTATCTTAAAGGCAGAAGTAAAGGGAACATATCATATGCAGCAACAAGCTGAAACTGGAGATAGTTGTCATCACTCGGGATGAAATTCAGTGTTTGTTGTCGCGGTTGGTGAATTCCGCACTTCAGGCTCGATGCGACTACCAATGATTTGCCACCAAGTATTCATTCAAAAGGCAAAGCTTTTTGCACTTCTGAAGGGACCAATCCCATCAGAAGTGCAAGGCACATTGCCATTCCTTTACTCTATACCTGATTTGGATGTAAATACTCTCAAATTACAGATGAAAGGCTGCAATGAACTGCTTTTAAAATATTCTTCTCTTTTTCTGTCTGTGTCACATGCTTGATTGTCGCTGATTGCGGGGGGGCCCCAATTGGATTTTTGACCTATGGTTTCTGCCCCATTGTCTGTTAATAGATTTAGCCGAGCCGGATCTGGCCATGGGAGCAGGCGGGGCCCAAGCCAGTGGCGGGGCTGTCGTCCCAAAAGGAAGCAAGAGACGAGCAGCGTAAGTGTTCAATAACACGCTCATAATTATGTGAGCGGCACCTTCTGATTTCCATCTTGTTACTTTGAATTTGGGATTGGCCAACTTTTGCCTGATCAAATTCGTCATTGAACTCCTCCGGTGTGACCAAAACTGACTAAAATATTGAATGTATTTCCATCGTTGCAACATAAAGAAAAGGTGTCGAACTGATGTGTTGACAAGTCAGGACTCTGCAATGTTTCAAGCTTGAGACCAACTAATCGTTACTTTTTTTTTTTTTCTTGCAACCAATCATCCCATTTCCAAATGTCTTGGTGCATTGTACACAGTTTGAAGTGGCTGCTCCAACCACACGAGCATTTTTGGCAAATTTCGTCACGTCATTGCTTCTACAATATACATCCTTTTTTTTCAGATTCAATCTGCAAACATGATCCTTTACTGTAGTTGCACAATTCAAAAGTATATCCTCAGATAAAATAAAAACCACGTGGAATAGAAATAATGACACAGAAATGGCTGTTTTGGGGAGGGGGGGGGGTACCTTTGATGTCCAGTCCTCCGACGTGCTAATCTCCTGAGCACAAAAAGAGAGCGGCCACTCGTTAACTAGTAAAACATTTGCCAACAACAACATTCAGCCTCACGCTTGGTTGTATTTCTAATCTGTTTTTTTCTCCTTCTACTTCCTAAACTGGTCAAAAAAAATCAATGATGTCATCAATTACTCAACTTAGACTTGTCTTTCATCTCATTACAGTCGACTGCAAAAATGTTGAGTGTTCCAGAATATAGAAGGCCTTTTTGTATTGTTATTGTATAGTGTCGTTGCTATTTTATGTCTCCTACTTGGATTGCAGGCCTGATTTTGACGATGACGACGAAGGGAACAAGTTGTTCAGGTACAGTACTAGAGTCTTATCGTACATTGTGTTCCACGTCGCCGTGGCGACAGCTGCCAACTGATGGCGATCTGCCCGTTCCCTCTTTCATCAGGTGTGACGACGACACAGGAGGCTCCAACGACAAAGAGCGCTTTGCGAGGTAGGGACTGCTGAATTAAGTCGTGTGCGAACCGTTTGTCAGGACCACGAGCTCACTCGCCATCTTGACAGGACTGTCTGTCAGGGATATCAACCCTGTCAATCTTGCGCTTCTTCCCCAACAGGGACAACTCCTTTATTGTGGCTCACTAACAACTTCACTATGTTTCACTTCGGTAATCCCTTCTCTTTTCTCTTTATTCCCTCTCCTCAGGCGGTCTTTCTCTCTTGGTCTGCTCTTGCTCTCTCTGTTGTCACACACCTGACATTGAAAGAGCAGAGTCGCTTGCTCAACTTCATTTTTTTTCCTTTTCTTTTTGGACAAATCACTATTTATTCATCTCATTCCCAGCTCTTCCTCAGAGACGGCCCACTGGCACATTATGACATTAACTCTAGGCTCTCCCTCGCGTTGTCCATCCGGCTCTTCCTCCTGTCCCGTCCGCTCCAGGGAGAACCACAGCGAGATCGAGCGGCGGAGGCGGAACAAGATGACGGCCTACATCACAGAGCTGTCGGACATGGTGCCCACGTGCAGCGCGCTGGCACGCAAGCCCGACAAGCTTACCATTCTGCGAATGGCCGTATCCCACATGAAGGCACTGAGGGGCAGCGGCAACACCAACCCGGACGGCTCCTACAAACCGTCCTTTCTCACCGACCAGGTGAAGACACTGTTGGGAAGGTATTAAGTTGAGAAGGGGAACCAATTAGAGACAGTGGGATGGATCACGGTTCACACTAGCTTTTCATCATTGAAAATAGGCTGACAATTTTTCAACAATTGCACAGATTTTCCTGACACTCCGACATCCACGACAACAAAGTACAGTCAACCTACCTACATCATAGAGGTTATAGACCCCCAATATACCATTGCAGCAATAAGTGCAAAATCCCTGTTACAGAGATAGAGGTGAGTTTTTATTCCATTTACAGGACTAATCTTTAAGATCCTAAAATAACACAAACACGCATTTAAAACATGTCATAAATTCCGAGAGAGCAAGGAGAATTGGACATTCCTGTAATTATCAACGGGAAAAAAATGAATTCGAAATTGGCCTCCTTCCCGTTTTCACGCGCTTACAAAATTTGTGCGCTTTCAAAAGTTTCCAACTGGCCAAAAAAAATCCATGAAATAGCGAGACTGCGAACTCTGAATCCATGATTTTGGCGGGGGGGGGTTCTTCTCGTAAAATCAGGAATGAGTTTTCTTTGCGCACTTATTTTCCCCACATACGGATGAAAAAGTCCCAAGTCTTTGAAATACCCTTTGTCTGCCAAGTGTACAGTGGTGCCTTGAGATATTAATTTATTGGGGATCTTGACCATGCTCGTAACACTTGGATCCTAAAAAAGACTTTGAAATATTTGTGCAAGAAGGAACAGAGCACTAGAATGTATTTTATAAGCACTAGAATGTTACAAATTCAACAGTTTGCGCAGTCAAGATGTAACGCTTCAATTCATTTCATTGTGCTGCGCTTTCTTATGTGCCTGCCTTTAATACAGATACAACCTGCAAAAGAATAGTTGCGTGTTTTTGTTTTTTCTGGATTGTGGGGGGCACAACTTTGAGTTGGTACACAAGTAATAGCTTTGGACTTCTGTTGCAGCTGATATACGTGTACTGTGCAAGTTGAAATGCTTTTTGCTGCGTTTTAATACTGAGCCCGATGCCGTTTGACTGCAGGAGCTGAAGCACCTCATCCTGGAGGCAGCAGATGGCTTTCTGTTCGTGGTGTCCTGTGAGACGGGTCGCATCGTTTACGTGTCGGACTCGCTGACGCCCGTCCTGAACCAGTCGCAGTCCGACTGGTTGGGCTCGTCCCTGTACGACCAGCTGCACCCCGATGACACGGAGAAGCTGAGGGAGCAGCTGTCCACCGCCGAGAATAACAACACAGGTATCCAAAGCGCACAGCAGGAAAGCTCTTGTCTCGAAGGAGTCACCTTGGATTGTGCTCCATAAAAGGGAGGATGTTGGACTTGAAAACGGGAACTGTGAAGAAGGAGAGCCAGCAGTCCTCCGCCAGGATGACGATGGGAGCCCGGCGATCATTCATATGCAGAATGAGGTGTCTGTCCTATTGTTGATGCGACATCTAGTGAGTGAGAGGTGCGCCTGAATGCAACATTTCTTCACATAGTGGTTTTGGTTCTAATTGCAGGTGTGGCTCGTGTCCAGTGGAACCCATGTCCATGAACAGACTAAACTTCCTTCGGAATAGAAACAGGTGATTAGAACCAAGGCTGCGAATGATCCCTACCGCGGTATCGTGCTCATGTGACGGAGTCCTGCATATGGGGCACATTTGATCTTTCCCCCCCCCCCACTGCTTCAAATTAGGAACGGTTTGGGTGCAGCAAAGGAGGGCGAGCCTCAGTACGTGGTGGTCCACTGTACAGGATATATCAAATCCTGGCCACCTGCAGGTAAAACATGCTGGCCGCTGAAATATTCGCAGCGCTTCACTCTTTCTACATTTTCGTTCTTACAGCCTGATTCCAAAATGGAGTCATCTCATTTTACTCCTCAAATTCCACACACAATACCTCATGAATGGAAAAGCTTTTTTTTTCCCTCCATTTTTATCTACCTGCAAAATTTCTAAAATAAAAAGCAAGTGATCATGTCCACGCAAACATTCATAACCTTGGTCAGTGTTTTGTTGATGCACCTTAAGCAGCAATTCCCGCATCCACTTCTTTTGAATATGATGCCACAAGCTTGGTACACTTACCCCGTTGCTGCAAAAAAGATTTGCCGAAACTACCCAGAGGTGGGTGTGTTCGATTTGTGGCATCATATTAAAAACAAAACAAAACAAAACTTGAGGCTATAATTGCTGCTGAAGGTGCGTCCAAAAAACCCAGTACTAAGCAAAGAATACTGACACACATGTGATTTCTACGTTTTGTATTTTTTAATACATTTGCAAACAAACCTCACATTGAGTCGTTACACCTTTTGAAGAAGTTGTGGTTCCATTCACAAGATCGAGGCTCTTGAGGTGGGATTGTTTTCCTTTTTTCAAGCAATTAGTTAACATACATGAAATCTTAAAGGAAAAGAGAATCACGTGTGTGTGTGGATCTTTTGGAGGAAATGAATTGAAGCCCTTTTGGACAAAGGCTGTGAAGTCAAGTGCTGCGAATAGCTTCTTGATGCGGTGTACATGCAACTCCTGTGCTCAAACACACTTTTGCCTTTCAGGCGTGTCCTTATCAGACAGTGAAGCGGACAACACTCAGGGGAGTCGCTACTGTCTCGTCGCCATCGGCAGACTACAGGTTGGATTCACGCCGCGCATCTGCATCCATTACATTGTCTCCAATTAAGAACCTACCAGCGTGATTTAGTCAGCTCACTGGTCAGTCCTGTGATGGCAGTGGAGACGCTTGTTTCTGAGCATATCAACCACAAAATATGACTTCATGGCCACGCTGCAGACATTTCGGAAGCGGATTACGTCTGATGTTTGCACAATTTCGCTGGGATTCGAAATTCTTTGTCCGTTCTCCGTCACTTGCTGCTACAACTCTTACAGTTGACAAGCGGTTGAGTCGCACGAGTGGCTTTGTTAAATGCTGCCCGTCATAACGGGCGGCGTATTTCTCTTTCAAAATGCAACGACCCGCCGCAGGTGACGTGCTGTCCAAGTGACACGGACGTCAACAGTATCAGTGTTCCAGTGGAGTTCATTTCACGCCATAACTGCCAGGGCGTTTTCACCTTTGTCGACCACCGCTGTGTGGCAGCGATCAGCTACCAGCCTCAGGTACACGCCCCCACCTTAACGCTCTTTTGTTTCATGTTGTTTGAATAAAGGAGCTCAATTGTGGAGCTTGAACTCATATGTTGTCTTTTTTTTTTTTTTTTTTTTTTTTTTGAGAAGCTTAATTACATAGCATGAGTTAACAAGTTGTGTCTTTTAGGAACTGTTGGGAAAAAATATTCTGGAATTTTCCCATCCCGAAGACCAGGGCTTGCTCCGGGACAGCTTCCAACAGGTACGAAAAAAAAAACAAAACATTGGAACAGCCATCCAATTTGTGTAGCCAGCGGTTATCCTTCTTAGGTTTGCGTGGCAGCCCAGTTTATTTATGAATACACCCTGGAATGGTCGCCAGCTAATTAAAGGGTGCGTAGAGACAAACAACTATTCAAGAAATGTGCCACAGACAATCGCCTCTGGGTCTACTGTGGTAGCAACATTTAAAACGTCACAGTTGAAAGAAATTCAATCATTTTCACAATTGGGTTTATTTATGGTCGCCCGTTTGACACAATACATATTTTCAGTTTTTATGTTCATGTTTTGTTGTGGCGCCACTGCTGAGGTTCATTTTACCCAATGTGCATGACTAACTGGTCTCCTAATGCCTTCTGCCCTTCAGTGTGATTTGTTAAAGGTCACATGTGTGAAACATGACCCAGCAATGTAGTGGTGCGTGCGTGAATGTTTGCAGCAGGCAGTGTGCAGCCACGCTCTTGTCTCTTATCACATGTGTTGCGTGTGTGCGCTTCGTTATTAAGTAATGGTAGGCCACATGGATCCACTGTACCGAATGTGGTACAAATTAATAATTATTACGATGATTTATTTTGTTCCACTTTCTTGGGCGAGTCGCCAGATGTTGCTGTCGTGCTCCACCCACAGACAAGAATGAAAAGTAAATATTTTACAATTCAGTGTTGCCCAACTGTCTTGTAAGTGTTCTTCTAATGAGACAAAATCAAGTTTCCTTTTGAGGGACGCCTGCAAAATGAGCAAAAATAAGTTAAAATGGCCACTTCAATCCAAAATTGCTGACTTCTTTTTGGGCATAGGTTAAATGTTTGGGGGGCGGGGGGGAGGGTTCTCCTACCTAATGAAATGCCCACCGTTTTTCCTTTTATTTTTTCCACGCAGTGTAGAAACATATAATATAGAAGCAACAGGTGAGCATGCTACCATCGCTTCAGTAATTCAACATGAACGTTCCAACTCGCCTTCATTCTTTCATCCCTTACAACAGATGAAGTTGAAATGCCTTCAGTCAGTGACTTGTTTAACGAGACTTGTTATTCGTGGAATTATAATTTTACTGTCATTATTGTAATGATATAATTGTATTTCTTGTAGTTGATGCGAATGTTCCATCTCATATACAGCGCTTTGACTTTGGTTTATGCTCAAACACAGCAGCCAGCCAGCCAACAGGCAGTTTATTTAGCTTGTAAGCCTTTCGCACGGTCTTCAACTACATTTTTTTACTGGAAGATGAGTGATGTTCAAGTCACACATGCATGCGTCTTCACACCAAAAGTAATTCGGTGACTGTCGTCAAAAGCTTCAATGAGTAGTTCTTGCCATAATTGAATGAAATTGCAAGCTCCCTTGAATCCGCGGGAACTGGTTTCACGTTGAATGGTTGCGCTCGCTGCATCGTAAATTTCTGGTGAGACTCTTCAAACGCGGTGTCATGCGCTTGGCACTTAACTTGCATGAACATCAGCGTGCTACTCTGTGTCCGCAGGTGATGAAGCTGAAGGGTCAAGTGCTTTCCGTGATGTTCAGGTTCCGCACCAAATCCAGAGAATGGCTTTGGATGAGAACCAGCTGCTTCACCTTCCAGAATCCATTTTCTGAGGAGATTGAATACATCATCTGCACGAATGTCAACGTCAAGTGAGTTGCATATTTCGACCTTAGTTTTTCTTGCTGGTGATTATCTGACCTAATTCTACCATTAACTGTCCTTATTAAAATGATGTCAAATTTGTCATGATGTAAGGAAAACATTTAGTTATAACTCCAGTCCGCACGTTCTTTTACACTCTCCCGATGTCACACTGATCCCTGTCTCCCTACATGCCACCTCTTGGGGTGGGGGGCGGCAATAGAAATGCGACTCAGGACCCCCTCACCCCCATCCATTCCCCAGGGGTTTTGCTGCCCCCCTCTCTGGGTCAGAGTGGCTCAAACAGCCCCACTGTGGTCGTTAGCCCGGGCCAGGTAGCTACCAGGTGAGAGCAGGCTGGGTCAAAAAGTAGCGCCTTCTTCACGGCGGACATCCGGCTCCTCCCTTCCTCCTGACAGCATTCCTGGTGTTAGCGTTAATGCATGTCGAAACGGTGTCAGATGGACTGTAGTGTACTTCAAACTAAGGCTGGGCCATTATAGGGGGGGGGAAAAAAAATAACCATTTGAAAACATGATTATTCATTCATTTGAAAACTCTGTTCCCAAAACTCAATTTTAAACCTGACTTGAAAGAACAACCAGAAAATACATTTGGAACAAAGTAAAACAACAATCAAGTATGTTCAACTGATGGCAATAAATGTACAGATGAATGAATAAATACAGGCTGTTCCTTCTGCGCGCTGCCGGGGCCTCTGAGGCTCCGCATGGTGCCACGCATACATGAGGTACACACGTCAATTAAGAGTGCAAGACAAAAGCTGCAATGGAGCTTTTACAAGTGGAATAATTTTTTTAAATAGATTAGGACAATGCTTTGAATACTGTTCTTCAATGATAAAGTTTTCGTGAGAAACCAAATTTGAATTTGATCCATCAATGTAATTGCCCAGCCCTACTTCTAACAAGGTTATTCAGGTGTCATTTGCATGGGAGCAGCATATGCTACACCAGACTGTAAAGCGAATACTCTCCTTGTCTCTTTTTTGATGGTGACCGGTGGTGGGCTCTTGTATTCGTTTTTGTTTCTTTCTTTTGTGTTTGTCAGTCACTCGGTGCAGGTGTGGTGGGATTCTTAATGAGCCTGCTCCGACGGCACCTGCGGTCGTCACTCATAGTCTCGTCCTTTCACAGGCAATTGCAACAGCAACAGCAGCAGGCTGAGCTGGAAGGGGGCGGGGCCAGAGACAGCCTGTACGAGGCAGGACCGATAACGCTCTCACAGGTACAGCCTCTTGCTGTTGCGAATGGTGACTGATCGGATGGAACGCTCACAATCAATGCCGGGAGCGTTTCACACAAAGAATTGTCATGATTTTATGAAGTATAGCCGCCAAGATGCTTCCCCTAAATAATCATCATAAAACCCTTTTAACTATTAGTGATTGAACATGATTTGGGGATTTTGTTGGGGAGCAACGTGTATGCAATGTAAAGTACGCTTGAACGATGCGGCGTTTGGCGACTCCAGCAAAATGTCCTAAAAAGTTGTGATTTTTGGAGTTACGAGGATTCCATTTTGGGTGGCGATGTTATGCTTGTGGCACTTTATTGTGCTGAATATTCCAATCCATACATGTAGGTATAATGATATCATTTATATTTTATGGATCGTAGTCGATGAGGCAAAATGAGTTTTTGGAACATGATCACTGGTATGGTTCTCATCAGATGCCGGTGCAGTCGGTGACTTTGACCGGGCCAGACCACAACAAGAGCCTGGAAAAGCCAGACCTGTACTCGCCGTCCCTTTTCCAGGGCCCCAGTCAGACCAAGGGCGTGATCGCCACTTCAACACCCTCAGCTCAAATCTATCCCGCTGTCAACAATTTCAACGCCGGTCGTGCCAATGATACATACAGGTTGGATATTGATGATACTTCTTTCTTATGATGAAATGATTAAATCATATTTCCACAAAGAACTCGCCCACACCAATCTGCAGTTGAGTGAATAAATGCTTTGGGCATTATTTTTCGACGAACTGGTAATTTTAAATTGAAGGTCTTGCAATCATGTGTCTCCTATGGTAAAAACAAAAATCCATCTAATGAAATATATTGAAGTAGACATTGCAGTGGGTCCACACCCTGCTTGACTGTCATTTCATTTGCTGTCACATGTATTTAGGATTCATCACGTTTTGCGGAGCTGATGAGAGCGAACAAGACTTGGACATGCCATTCTGTCATTTGTAAGACAGATTCCACAAGAAAGCTTTTTCGGGTTAACCGCATCAGCTTTCTAGTGGTAGTTGATGCTGCCAGGCCAAAACTGTATTGGCTTCGTGGTCTAATTCCTCTATTGTTGCCTGGCCTTTCTAGGCTGCTATAATTGTTGCCGTGCCATCTTGTTCTTTTCTTTGATGCATGTTGTTTTTTTTGTTTTTTTTTTTTTCCCTTCCATTTCCCTCCTTCCGCATTGTACAGGCCAGTTGGTATGGCGCCGCAGATGGCACAGCCGACCCACTCAGCAGGACAGATGCTCGCCCAGATGTCCCGGCAAAATGGAGGCCCACAGCCTGTCACCCCCTCCAACACTGCCAGCCCCCTCCATGGAGGACCGTCAGGAGGATGGCCTGGTCCCGGAGCAGGTGGCGGAACGCAGTTCAATACTCAGGTACAATTAAACCCCTTCCCAATATTCGCAGTCCATCATTTGCATATTTGCAGATTTTGCTGCCAACTGGTGGAATATTGGTCCTGTTGTTGAGGTGTAATTCATTGATGGTGTTTTTTTTTTTTTCATGTCTGTTTGAGATATAATACAATAAAATTCACCCTGTTTTATGTAGTTGCAGCTGTAATAGCCCCAACATTTAATACTGTGTATAAATGCCAACCTCTCAAAGACACACGTCCTTTGAGACTCCACATATTCAATCCCAGGTTAAACAAAAAGAAAATTCTAAGTGTAAACAAGGGTCTGAAAATGTCTAGTACTGAAAATAATCACCTTAGATCTACCTAATAATCGGTAACTCGTCTCCCCACTTTGCAGCAAGTGGCTCCCCAAGCAGCAAAGACAATGTCACCACCATTTGTTCCCATGGGAGGATTCGGCTCTTCTAGTTCTTTTGGCCAGATGCCCACGGGTGCTGCTCCCAGCCAGACCAGCGGCGCAAACTATCCACAAATCAATGCGCGTGCCAGTGCCAACACAAACGGTTACGGTAGGTAGCGTTCATATGTGCGTCTCTCTTTCGCTTTGACGTCCCAGACGATTGACGAATTGGCACAACAGCTGGTTCTCACGCTCCAGATGCTTCCCAATCGCAATTCCCTTCCCGGGCAACGGAGGCAGTGTGGCCCGAGTGGCAAGGCCAGCAGCAGCATTCGCAGAGCAACGCAGAGCAGCACCCTCACGCACAAGGCAACCAGCAAGACATGTTTACTGTGAGTGATGCAAGTGCACTCACTCTCGTCGTGGTGCTTGTCTCCTGGTATAGGCTCCGCCCATCCAAGCAGGAGAAAACGTGGATGGATGGACAGCAGTGAAAAAGTCAACCACTGGTATTAATCCTCTGTATGTGTCTCTCTCTTTTCAGGACGTGTTGTCCATGCTGGACCAGCCCAGCACCTTCAACAGCGATGACTTTGATATTCCTATGTACCCCTCATTTAATGAGTGACTGCAGGTGTACTCCCCCCTCCCCCTTTTTTCTTCCCCAAACCCCTCAAAGACTTTTCCCTCTTTGTTACTTTTGAATCATCCATCTCTCCTGCTTTTGAGAGCATCTGTCTTTGCTTTTTGCTTTGGCTTCCCTTGCACTGCTCAACAAGGAGCCACGGAGAGTACTGACTGCAGGTTAGACGATCGGGAGAGGGGAAAAAAAAAGAATCAAGGGATGGCAGCCATTTTCTCGACAAAAATCATTGGAGTAAACAGACAGGAAGTGAATCAGTTCACACACACTCGCACACAATGGCCTTTTGTTCTTGTACGTTCCTGATTCTTCTCAGGCAATTTGAACTTGTTGCAGTTAGACTTCATGGATCCAATCTTTTCTTTTTAAAAATTCTCAGGAAATTACAGGTGTTTTTCTTTTCTTTTTTTTTCTTTTTTTTTATATTGTTAGCTCACACACACGGGAACACGCTCTGTTTATCCTTCCCTTATAGACGTTTTTAAATCCATGCCGGGCCTCTGCATGCCAGCACTACTTCATGGAGTGCTTCTACATTACTTGGATTCACACTGACTACTGTTTTCAATGTGGCTTCACTTATGTATTCTTTCTGTTTTTCTCTGGGCAGATTATTTTTTCTTTTTTTTTAAATTTTATGTACAGTGGAACCTCTAACGTCAACCCACCGTCCGTTCTGTGTTGCTGGTGGACTTCAAATTACAAAAATCCTCCATCTAGTGAGCACACTGGCATGAAAGCTCCACCAACTACATAGAAAATGAAATGTTGAATTGGTTTAAAAGCTGAATATGGTAAGATTTCAAATGAGAGAGAAAACAAAACTGCCAACCTTGCAACCTGTGTGTGTGTGTGTGTGTGTGTGTGTGTGTGTGTGTGTGTGTGTGTGTGTGTGTGTGTGTGTGTGTGTGTGTAACAACTTCAGTCCTGATGCATTGAGACGATTGGAGTTTCCACTGTACACCTTTTTTTGCAGGGGGTTGGGGGTAAATTGGTATCCAATATATTTGTTTTAGGTAAACACCTTTTCTGCATACTGTATGTATCAAATATGTGCGTGAGTGTATAAGTATCAATCTGTTTTCGGAGTCTGTTTCCAGATATGCTCGGTAATCTCTTCTTCTGCCCTACAAAATACTCTGTACCATGTATGGGCACTTTGTATTCCTTTTCTTTAACAAAAATGAAAAAAGTTGAAGCCAAACAAAGTATGGAATAAGACCACACAGCAATAAGTTACAAAAAAAAAAAAAAAACACATTGTGTATTTTTAAAGCCATTCTATTTTTGTGTGTGTCCTAATTGGAGTCCTTGAGTGGAGATGTGGATCATTGGTGATTTGTCTGACTAGCGATCGGTTGCTTGGTTGGTCTTTTCTGTCGTGGTTTAATCAGAGTGTTTGGGGATACAAATGGGGGGGAAAATAGAGGTTAAGTAATTATTATGAATAATTGCTTTCATGTTTGAGACAAGCAATTGAAACTGGACTGAAAGTTTTGCCAACTCAATCTTTTTGTTGTTTGATCACAATGTTGTGGGCTGATAAATATTTAAAATAATTTTAAACGTTGAAGTGAGTTGAAATGCGGCCATTTTTTGTGTGCAACGCCCATACGACACTCGCTGTATGTAAAGCCTTTTTTCAAGGAGCTTTTTTTGGTGACTCTTTTTGTCTGCTTTTTGGTTGCTCTTTTGTGCAGGGGTTTTCCAATGATGTGAACTTTTATCACACTCATAGAGACACAAATATATAAATATTCTGTAAATGTTTAAGAAATGTTCAACACGTGAACGAAATGTTTGTTTTTGTAATAAATTGATATATTGATAAAATATGAAAGAAATGGGAGATTTTGTTGTTGTTCGCCCCTTAGCTGTAAACTATTCCAAACGTAAACTATTTGGAATGATTTTAATTTTGGAAAAAAATCGCCACTTTTGTCACTCCAGGAGCATGATCCATTCCACCCCGTAACCCCCCCCCCCCCCCCCCCCCCCCAAAAAAAAATAGAAGTAAAAGTGAGTTTTAAAAGAGTATACGTTTGCGTGTTCGCCAACAAACCCGCGAGTCGGCGTGTTTTCCGTATGTTTTTATTTACAGGTATTGATTTTGAGCTAGGCAGCGGAGGAGATAACCCCGCCCACTCCGATGATGCCGGAGAAACATGCGCCGACCCATTTCGCTCCTAGCTTAAGCAAGTTAGCGGTTGGTATTGACGTCCGAGCACGCAAGATGGACACTGGCGATGCGTAAGTGTTGCCTTCCAGTCCTGTTTTCGCCGCACCACGCTCTTTGTGACGCGATTGAGAACGAGAGCGAGGACACGTTTGTGGGCTTTCTATAGGTTACCTGCAGGCAGTCATCCCACACCGGAGACTTTCTCACCGCTAAGGCTAGGCTAACCTGCTAGCATCTTTGCTTTTGAACGAAGCTACTTTTTGGTCAGATGTTTTTATGTTTTAGTCGATTCCTTCGCCTCGCAATGAACGTCCGTTGACGTTCAAGAAGGGAGTCTGAGCACTTGAGCGCATCACGGCGAGCTTGTTTACGGTGTTTAAAAAATGTTCCACCATCACCTATTTGTAATATTTAATGTATAACAAGATTACCTTTTGCGCAAACACAAGCATCACTCTCACGCACGCCAAGATGCATCACAAAGATGACTGACAATAAAATCTGCGTAGTGTAACAAGAGCTTCAATGTATCTTTTGTTGCTTCAATGTATCTTTTGTTGCGTCAATCCACATATTTTACGTCAGCAAAATCTCCCGGTTCACCACCAAGGCTGAATAATAGACAGTCTAATTATTACCATCAGTCGTCCCTGAATTGTCTACTTTCTCAGGGACGTCAAACCCACTTTCACCGAGTGACATACACATCAGCATAATGGTTGGCCTGCATAATGGTTGGCCTGAAAGTGTCGGGTGCAACTTTAAAACAGGATAGACATCAAATGAACGCTCAGACTTTTCAATGTTAAATAAATTCAAATATATTACGTATTTCAAGTTTAAAATATTGCATAAGTACAGACGCGTAGTACTGCCACACGAAAAAAGAAAAAAGCACCCAGAAAAAAATCCCTCCTCCACTATCAAATAAATTTGACTTCCGCATTTGACAAGATAGAATGTAACAATTCCTCCCGGTTGAAATCTCTGACGGAGCCGTGGCCTCTTTCAGAATGGAAGTGGAGGGCTGGGACTCGGCTCTGGAGGATGAGCTGGGTGTCTCTCTGGATGAGCTGAAGAAGTTGATCAACGAGATGGTGGAGAACAGCGAGCTCGTGCAGAAGAAACGGGCTCAGCTCAGTGAACTGACTCAGCAGGTGGAGCAGAAGGAGCAAGAGGAGGCGGCCACGGAGAAGCTCATCAACGATACCAAAAAGTGAGCTGCTTACGCCGGTGGCGCCGGCGCTTGCCGAGTCACGCTGGGTCCTCTCATTCCTCTCAGCCCTCAGGTCATTGGTGGAGTGCGAAAAGTTGGTGAGGGAGACGTACCAGAAGAACGGGCTGGTGTACAAGAGCAGCTCAGAGGACGAAGACGGCGGCGGCGGCGGCCCTACAAGTGCTGAGGTCATAGAGATAGACGATGACGATGACGACGATGACGTTATCGCCGTCGGATGCTGTGAGTGCTTGCGCACTCTACTCAAAATGGATTCCTCCAATGTGATACAGTTCACCCTCTTTTATGAAACATGGGATATCGTCTTTCCCTTTGGGAATGAGTGGCATTGCCATTAATCCGTTCCAGCGTTCAACCACCAAAAATAATATACATA